ACCACTTGGGGAAATCTGTGAAAAAATAACAAATTTTATGTACTGAATTACAAGCTGTGAAATGGCCTGGAGAGGCCAGTGTGAGTAAAAGAGTATCAAGAGGTGAAGCTGAAACCAGCTCCCAAAAGAATGCTAATGAATGTGGCTCCATCATAGCCCTTCCTCCAAATTCAAACTGCCTTCCCACCACCAGCCCTGAAGAAAAGGTAAGAATTTTCCAAAGACACTCACGATGGAGCTCTCTTTGGGCTCAGCAAAATACTATAAATCTTCATCTCTTAATTTGGATGGAAAATGCATAAGACTAGCTAAGTATTGTGCAGAAATACCGAGGACAAGGCTGGGCTGAGTAGAAATCTATATTCAGGATTAGCTACCTAGTTCGTGTGACCCAGTGCAAAAAAAATATGGGGCTTCTTGCTCAAAAATTACGAAGAATTTCAAGACAGCAACATCAGAGCATTAAATGAAGAACTGGGCCTATCTAAGTACAGGGCCTTGTGTGACTTCGCAGGGTGAACACCCAGGAAGCCAGCCTTGTATGAAAAATGTTATGAGTAAGGTGACTGGTTATGAGATAAATATACAAAAACTGACATGTGGCGATAGGTCAGGATGTCAGACTGCATCCCAGCTTCTACTCACCTACTCAAAGTCCCATGAAATAACAGAAATTATATTTTGAAAAAGGAATAAATTTGTAATGTTGCCAGAAATCAAGACAGGAGACTACCTACAGACTAGAAATATTGAGACTGATTTTTTTTAAAGGAGATAGAATTGGATTGATAAAGAAACAAGAACAAAAAAACCAAAAAACAAGAAACCTCAAGCCAAAAATGAGTAGGATAAATTGCACAAGGTAAGGATAGTTCCAGAGCACCCCAAGTTCCGAGTGATAAAATCCATGTGGAGAAGAGGGTCTGGGACCTCAGTGTTGTCAGATGAATAGTTCAGAACATCTGGGGCAGTCAGGCCTGACCCCTCTCAGTCCTCCATCAACACAGAGCAATTTGTAGATAGGGCATTTCCTCCCAGGCTAACGCTGTTACCACTTCTCTCTGAAAGGGCAGTTCTCACTCAACAAATCTTGTGAGCTGGGCCACTGGGCAGAGTAGGACCTCAGGAACCTGGGCTCCCAAGACGAATGGAGAGTCCTTACCATCAGGGTTAAGCTACCCACAGACCCCTCCCCGCAGTCCCTGGGGAGGGTGACAGTGAGGGGAACAGACAACAGAGATTTCCATCTGAGCTGTGAAAAGCATTTGTGGTTAGATATCACAGCCTGTGTAACAGGTAGTTTTTACATTTTTGAGATCTTTCTATGGTCAGGTAATTGATCGATTTATAAATGTTGCCTGACTGAAAGAATGTAAAATCTCTGAGAAGAAAATGTTTCTTTTATGTGATTATTCGTCCATATTTGTTACTTGTATTAATTTAAATCCTCTTCTGTACTGTCCAATAAAAATGTAATGTGAACCTCATGGTATTTTAAATTTTCTAGTAGCCACTTTAAAATAAGTAAAAGGAACGTGGCGAGATTCATTTTAATAGATTTTATTTAACTCATAGGTAAAATATGATCTTTTCAACATGTAATCAATATTTTTAAATATGATTAAGATGTTTTACATTATTTTTTCATACCAAGTCTTTGAAATCCAAAGTACGTTTTACATTTACAGCACATCTCAGTTTGGACTAGCCATGTTTGAAGTGCTCGATAACCAGGGGCTGTTGGCCGTACGATGTGGCTAGTGGCTGTTACCTTAAGCAAGTGCACTTCTAAGTCCTTGGTTACTCTTGTGTGCTGCACTGTTATGTTTGCTTTACACATTGTGAAGCTCTGTGAAAAGGTTCAGAGATGGACAAGAACAAACCAAAAAAATTCTTCTTGCACCATTAATTCTTTTGGCTTTGAATTCATTTATCTTGCATTAATATTGGCACACCTGCTTCTTGGTGTTAGCATGTCCTTGGCAATATATCTTTTCCATTCCTTTATTTTGCAGCTTTCTGTATCTTTTTTTTTAGGTGTGCACTTTTTAAACAATAAAAAACTGAATTGTGTTTTGTTACACGATCATAGAGTTGCTATCTTTTAATGGAAATATTAACCAAATCATATTAATTCTAAGCGCTGGTATGTTTGGACTTACAGGATTTTGTTCGTATACTTGTACTTTCTATTTGCTGTGCTTTCTGGTTGTTTCTTTTTTTTTCCCATTCCTTACTTTTGTTGGATTAATCAAGGTTTTGTTTTGTTGGATTAATCGAGTGTTTCCTTTTCTTTTCTTTCAGCAGTTTAACATTTATATATCCTGTTTCTATTCTTCTGATAGTTTCCTTTAATTATCTTTCAGCAGAAGAAAACAAATAGTCTTATTTCCAGTGATGTGTGGTTATCAGTAGACTACTTTATCTTGTTCTTTTTTTGTTATTGTTACCTTTAATTTTAACAAGTTACACAGATATTTTCTCCCTGTGAAAAAACTAAAATATTATAGATTTTATCAAATTCCTCTTCAACTGCATCCCTAATTCCAGTCCTTTCTCAAGAGGTAATGGTTATATTTAAGTTTAAAACATAGTCTTCCAACTTTACATATATATATACACACACACACGTGTATGTATATGTGCATATATGTACACATACACACATACATACGTATGTGTGTGTGTCTAAATATGTGCGTATGTCTAAACACCAAAACAAATATTTTCTATGACTTCATTTTTAGGCATATATCATGAAGAAATAGTTGAATAAGTAGGAAAATATAATGTAAAAGAATGTTTCATAACCACATTGTAAATATTTTTATTGAAGACATTATAAATATTCATTAATAGGGGATTGGTTACATAAATTGTGGTACATCCATACATTACATCAAAAATAATGTAATATATTCACAAGCTCATTAACATAAAAAGATGTCTAGAATATATTCTCAAATGAAATAAATCAGGTTAGAAACACACACATACAATTCAAAGGGTATTCACCAACATAATACAAAGATTATCTCTAATGGCTAAGATTTCAGGTTATTTTAACTTTCTTCTTTAATATTTTATAATGATCAAATTTTTTTGTTGCTATCCAGATAGCTGGTTTATTTATTTATAATTGAAAAATAATTGATTAAACACATTTGTGGGGTGATAATCAAATTTTTTTCAGTGAGTATATCTGAATGTTATACTTTTGAAAATATTAAAAAGAAAAAAACCTTATTTTCTTACCCCAAAAATCCTAAATAAAATCACAAGTAGCATAGATGCTCCAGGAGAATTCACGATGTTTTATCCAAAGGCTTCTCTTCCTCCCTGGCATGTGAACTTGGACCTGGAGAACCTGTACCCCAGTTACAGAAGCAGGCTTTAGAAAACTGCCTAGAGATGATGAGAAAGGACTAGCAGTGTTTGCTACACGTACCAAAAAATTCCAGCTGTAAATATTTGTGTCAGTTTGTGTGTTATTTACATATTTGCTCAGCTGTTTGTACTTACTATGTTTTCTGTATTCTTGATGTGTTTTTCTATGTTTTGCCTTAAATAATGTTCTCCTGGGAAAGAGCCAGGCTGTAAAGTCCTTCATGTCGACTGCCAAGGGAGCATGAACATGTGGGCGATGCTTTTGACACTGCTAATGAAGATCAATAATTATTTCAAGAGCTAATTAGTGCCACTAATGCTCTTGGTGTCATTGGCGGTATGCCTCAGAACACTTGGAAAACTCCTGCTTCTGGTGTGAATCTCTCTCGAGGGAATTATAGCTGAGACTGTGAGATCGAATTCCACAATCATTTTTTTACTCATTAAGTAACAGGTATTATTGCAAAAATGAGCAGTGTCGGACACCAAGCTCATAGTCAAGTGCAGGTTGAATTAAAGCTAATTTTAAAAGGTCAATATTTAACATCTGTTCATTCCCCAGTCCTTCTGGAAGAGAGAAGGATGCTGACCAGAGCCTTTTTGGCTCTACTTTTTACATGGATTAAGGAACCAAGGCCAGTTTCCACTCTCTAAGAAGATAGAAAGAATCTGGAGAGTTTCTCCCCATTTTGAAGATGGGGAACAGGCTGAGTCAGACATGCTGTCTCTTAATGTGTGTGCAGAGGGCAATGTCTTCTACCTGGGTGTTTCTACCTGTGAGAACATAGCTGTCGTTCCTGGGAATGGCTCAACTGACAGTCTATATACCAAGAGTACGTGTTAGGGCCACATCAGCATGGCAGCTTAACCAAGCAGGGATGTCAGGGAGGCAGAAGTAGAGGTTGTCAAGGGAAACTTCATTTCCTTGCAGCACTCCTAGGTGAGGACTGGAAATTGTTTTGAAGGACAGGCTTAAGCTCAGGAGGTAGAGAAATCCAAGTTGTACAGTTCCTGACCTGTGAGGGTTTATGGTACAACCTGAATGTAAGCTAATGTGACATATATCCTGGGAATGCCAACAGTCACAGATCATACTGTACTCTTCAGTGTCTCCTCTGTGTGTGTGTGTGCGCGTGTGTGCACGAAACCATTCACAAAACAAAAACAAAAACACCATGGTATTTTCTGTGACTCCATTTCTGGGAATGGATATAGATACTGTTGCTGGAAGAAAGGACCTCAGGCCCTGTGCTGGCGTGGAGGGGATATCACGAGGTCCACCCTGCACCTCCAAGTAACAAGAGCAGTTGGCATTTTAGGTGAAAGGAAGGTAGTTTAAGTATTATTACTATTTTCGCATCTCTAAAGGCGTCTGTCTCTAAGACTGCCACCTCTCCCGCACCCCAGGATGGACCTCTCCCTCGGAGGTAAAGGCAGACAAGTGGTGCTGGGTGTGGACCGGTGGCAGGAGCCAGGGACAGAAGATTAGCCACAGGCTTGGATGAGGGAACAAGTCTGCAACGCTGGCGTTAAAACCTCTCCTTCAGAGGACCTCGCCGGCCCCTCCAAATAGTATTTTCCCCAAATAAGAGACTACTCTGGCGATTTTGCAGATACAGGAAATGAGGCCGAGACCTAGCAGCCAATCCACGTGCTTGTGAGGCAGCTGGTGCCCAGCGCTCCGGGGAAACTTCCAGAATGGGAGCTCCTGCCAGCAAGAGCCCTTGGCAGCTCTCAGCGCAGTCCCTGGAGCAGCGGACTTGAGGGAGAAACCACGTGCCTCAGACGAACACACAGTAACGCTCGAAAAGGAACAACGTGGAACGCCCGGCTCCTCTCATCGACCTCAGCACCTCTCCGGGCCACGCCACACTCCCACTAACCTTTCCAGAGAGTTCCGGATTCTCGATCTTCTCCCAACGCTTTTCAGGTGTGTTTTGTGAGACAAGATGGAACAGATTCGGATCTGGTTAGTGCTGCAGCACTGGGAGCCATTCCTTCCTAGACAGTAAAGGACAGAACAAAGGCCCAAATGTGCAAGTCTAGGAATCAACATTCTAGATCTGTGTGGTCTGTGTGACACGGTAGCCACCAGCCACATGTGGCTACTGAGCACTGGAGGTGTGCTAAGTGCAACGGAAGGACTGAATTTTTTTTTCTTTAACTTCTCAATGCATATTGTAGTTGATTTTCGTGACCCTTTACACGTTCCTCTTTCCCCTCTTCCTCTCTCCCCTCCCCCCATCATATCTGTTCACTTATCTTAAACAGTTCAAGGAATTGTTGTGATTTTTGTGTCTTCTTCCCCCCACCCCCGTTTGTTTGTGTGTTTATTTATTTATTTTTAGCTCCCACAAATAAGTGTGAACATGTGATATTTCTCATTCTGTGCCTGGCTTGTTTCACTTAATATAATTCTGTCTAGGTCCATCCATGTCGTTGCAAATGGCAATATTTCATTCTGTATTATAACAGAGTAGTACTCCATTGTGTAGATATACCACATTTTCCACATCCACTCATCTGATGATGGACATTTGGGCGGGTTCCAACTCTTGGCTATTGTAAAGAGTGCTGCCATAAACAATGGAGAACAGGTATACCTTGGGCATGATGATTTCCATTACTCTGGGTATATTCCCAGCAGTGGGATAGCTGGGTCACATGGTAGATCTATCTGTAATTGTTTGAGGAACCTCCATTTTCAGTAAAGGCTGAACTATTTTGCAGTCCCACCAACAATGTATGAGAGTTCCTCTTTCTCCGCAACCTCGCCAGCATTTATCATTCTCAGTCTTTTGGATTTTAGCCATCCTAACTGGGGTGAGATGGTATCTCAGTGTGGTTTTGATTTGCATTTCCCGGATGCTGAGTGCTGTTGAGCATTTTTTCATGTGTCTGTTGGCCATTTGTATATCTTCCTTTGAGAAATGCCTATTCAGCTCCTTTGCCCATTTTTTAATTGAGTTATTTGGTTTTTTGCTGTTGTCCTACTTTGTTGGCTTCTACAGAGGGTGCTAGCAGGCTTCTCGTTGTTTGAGTGCCTTGTATATTCTGGATATTAGTCCTTTGTCAGATGCATATTTTGGAAATATTTTCTCCCACTCTGTTGGTTGTCTTTTCACTCTGTTGATTGTTTCTTTTGCTATGCAGAAGCTTTTTAGTTTGATATAATCTCATGTTTATTTTTCCTTTAGTTGCCTGTGCTTTTGGGGTCATATTCATGAAGTCTGAACCCACTCCTACTTCCTGGAGTGTGTCCCCTATGTTTTCTTTAAGGAGTTCTATTGTTTCAGAATGTATATTTAATTCTTTAATCCATTTTGAGTTGATTTCACTATATGGTGAGAGGTACACGTCTAGTTTCATTCTTCTACATATGAATATCCAGTATTCCCAGCACCATTTGCTGAAGAGGCAGTATCTTCCCCAGTGTGTAGACTCAGTGCCTTTGCAAAGATCGGATGGCTGTAGGTGTATGGGTTGATTCTGGGTTCTCTATTCTATTCCATTGATCCGTGTGTCTGTTTTTTTGCCAGTGCCATGCTGTTTTGGTTATTATAGCTTTGTAATATAGTTCAAAGTCAGATAGAGTTATGCCAACAGCTTTATTTATTTATTTGTTTATTTTGCTCAGGATGATTTGGCTATGCATGGCCTTTTGCTATTCCATATAAATGTCTGCATAGTTTGTTCCATTTCTGAGAAAAATGTCATTGGAATTTTGATGGGGATAGCACTGAATCTGTAGATCACTGGGTAATGTGGACATTTTCACAATGTTAATTCTTCCAACCCAAGAGCATGGGATCTCTTTCCATCTTCTTATGTCCTGTTTAATTTCTCTCAATGGTGGTTTGTAGTTCTCTTTGTAGAGATTTTTCACATCCTTTGTTAACTTTATTCCTAAGTATTTTATTTTTTTGGTGGCTANTTCAGCTCCTTTGCCCATTTTTTAATTGAGTTATTTGGTTTTTTGCTGTAAAGTTGTTTGAGTGCCTTGTATATTCTGGATATTAGTCCTTTGTCAGATGCATATTTTGGAAATATTTTCTCCCACTCTGTTGGTTGTCTTTTCACTCTGTTGATTGTTTCTTTTGCTATGCAGAAGCTTTTTAGTTTGATATAATCTCATGTTTATTTTTCCTTTAGTTGCCTGTGCTTTTGGGGTCATATTCATGAAGTCTGAACCCACTCCTACTTCCTGGAGTGTGTCCCCTATGTTTTCTTTAAGGAGTTCTATTGTTTCAGAATGTATATTTAATTCTTTAATCCATTTTGAGTTGATTTCACTATATGGTGAGAGGTACACGTCTAGTTTCATTCTTCTACATATGAATATCCAGTATTCCCAGCACCATTTGCTGAAGAGGCAGTATCTTCCCCAGTGTGTAGACTCAGTGCCTTTGCAAAGATCGGATGGCTGTAGGTGTATGGGTTGATTCTGGGTTCTCTATTCTATTCCATTGATCCGTGTGTCTGTTTTTTTGCCAGTGCCATGCTGTTTTGGTTATTATAGCTTTGTAATATAGTTCAAAGTCAGATAGAGTTATGCCAACAGCTTTATTTATTTATTTGTTTATTTTGCTCAGGATGATTTGGCTATGCATGGCCTTTTGCTATTCCATATAAATGTCTGCATAGTTTGTTCCATTTCTGAGAAAAATGTCATTGGAATTTTGATGGGGATAGCACTGAATCTGTAGATCACTGGGTAATGTGGACATTTTCACAATGTTAATTCTTCCAACCCAAGAGCATGGGATCTCTTTCCATCTTCTTATGTCCTGTTTAATTTCTCTCAATGGTGGTTTGTAGTTCTCTTTGTAGAGATTTTTCACATCCTTTGTTAACTTTATTCCTAAGTATTTTATTTTTTTGGTGGCTATTGTAAATGGGCAGGCTTTCTTGATTTCTTTTTCTGCATGTTCACTATTGGAGTATAGAAATGCTACTGATTTTTGTGTGTTGATTTTGTATCCTGCTACTGTGCTGAAATCATTTATCAACTTCAGGAGGTTTTTTGTAGAGGCTTTAGGCTGTTCGATATATAGGATCATGTCATCTGCAAACAGGGACAGTTTGACTTCACCTTTTCCAATCTAAATGCCCTTTATTTCCTTCTCTTCTCTGATTGCTCTGGCTAGTACCTCCAACACTATGTTGAATAGGAGTGGTGAGAGTGGGCATCCTTGTCTAGTTCCTTTTCTTAAGGGAAAAGCTTTCAGCTTTTCCCCATTCAGGATGATATTGGCAGTGGGCTTATCATATATGGCTTTAATTGTGTTGAGATACTTTCCATCTATACCTAATATGTAGAGAGTCTTTATGATGAATGAATGTTGAATTTTGTCAAATACTTTTTCAGCATCTATAGAGATGATCATATGGTCTTTTGTCTTTGCTTTTATTGATGTGGCATATCACATTTATTGATTTGCATGTGTTGAACCAACCTTGCATCCCTGGGATGAATCCCACTTGATCATGATGGATAATTTTGTGTATGTGTTGCTGTATTCTGTTAGCTATTATTTTATTGAGGATTTTTGTATCTATATTCATCAAGAATATTGGCTTGTAGTTTTCTATTATTGATGTATCTTTGTCTGGTTTTGGTATCGGGGTGATGTTTGCCTCATAAACTGAGTTTGGGAGAATGTTCTCTGTTTCAATCTTTTGGAATAGTTTATTGAGAATTGGTATCAGTTCCTCTTTGAAGGTTTGGTGGAACTCTGCAGTAAACCCATCCAGTCCTGGGCTTTTCTTTGTTGGGAGCCTTCTGATAACAGCTTCAATCTCTCTTGTTGTTATTGGTCTCTCCAGATTTTTTATATCTTCTTGGCTCAATTTTGGTAGTTTGTATGTGTCCAGAAATTTATCCATTTCCTCCAGATTTTCAAATTTGTTGGCATATAGTTGTTTATAGTAGTCTCTAATGATTCCTTGTATTTCTGAGGTATCAGTTTTAATATCACCTTTTTCATTTCTAATTTTGTTATTTGGGTCTTCTCTCTTCTTTCTTAGTTAGCCTTGCTAAAGGTTTGTCAATTTTATTTATCTTTTCAAAAAACCAACTTTTTATTTCATTGGTCTTTGGTATCATTTTTCAGGTTTCTATTTCATTTAATTCTGCTCTGATCTTAATTATTTCTTTCCATTACTAACTTTGGGTTTGGATTGTTCTTGTTTTTCTAGATCTTTAAGGTGAAGTGTTAGGTTGTTTATTTGCCATCTTTCTATTCTTCTGAAGTAAGCATTTAATGTGATAAATTTCCCCCTTAGTACTGCTTTTGCAGTATCCCACAGGTTTTGGTATGATGTGTCATTATTTTCATTAGTTTCAAGAAATTTTTTTATTTCCTATTTAATTTTTTCTTGGACCCAAATGTCATTAAGTAGAATGTTGTTTAATTTCCATGTGTTTGTATAGTTTCTAGAGTTTCGTTTGTTATTCATTTCTAATTTTAATCCATTGTGATCTGAAAAAATACATGGGATAATTCAAATTTTTTTGAATTTGTTGAGACTTGCTTTGTGACCTAACATGTGGTCTATCCTGGAGAATGTTCCATGAGCTAATGAGATGAATGAATATTCTGAGTTGTTGGATGGAATGTTCTGTAGATATCTGCCAAGTCCAATTGGTTTAAAGTGGTGTTTAGATCTTGTGTTTCTGTATTGATTTTTTGCCTAGATGATCTGTCCAATGTTGAGAGTGGGGTGTTCAGGTCTCCCACTATTATGGTGTGTCTATCTCATTCTTTAGATCTAATAATGTTTGCTTTATAATTCTGGCTGCTCCAACATTGGGTGCATATATGTTTATGATTGTTATGTTGTCTTGATGGATGGATCCTTTTATCATTATAGTGGCTTTCTTTATCTCTTTTTATGGTTTTTGCTTTAAAGTCTGTTTTATCTGATATAAGAATAGCTACTCCAGCTCTTTCATTTCTACTTGCATGATATATCTTTTTCCATCCTTTCACTCTTAGTCTATGTGTGTCTTTACAGGTCAAGTGAGTCTCTTGGAGACAGCATATTGTTGGGTCCATCTTTTTAATCAAGTCAGTCAATCAGTCTGTGTCTGTTGAGTGGTGAATTTAGAATTATGTTTGAAAGGTGTTGATTTACTCCTAGCATTTTATTGATTTTAGTTTAGATGTCTTAAGTATCTTTTGGTTCTTTCTTTCTGATTTCTGTTTGTCTTCTGTATTTGTTGGTTTCTTGGGGTGGTAGATAAACTATTTTTTTTTCTTTATTGTAAGCATTTTGGTTTTACTGGTACATTTTGTCCTTCTTGAGTATTCATGGCAGTGATGGTTGTTTTTCAGATATCAAACCCAGTACTTCCTCAAGAGTTTCTTGTAAGGCTGGTTGTGCGGTAGTGAATTACCACAGTTTTTGTTTGTCTGAGAAATATACTATTTGTCCTTCATTTCGGAAGGATAGCTTTGCTGGGTAAAGTATTCTTGGCTGGCAATTTTTGTCCTTTAGAATTTTGAATATATCATCCCATTCTTTTCTGGCTTTTAGGGTTTCTGATGAAAAGTCTGATGTTAGTCTGATTGGGGCTCCCTTATAGGTAACTTGCCGCTTCTATCTTGCAGCTTTTAAGATTCTCTCTTTGTCTTTGAGTTTTGCCAGTTTGACTATAATATGTCTTGGAGAGGACCTTTTTGGGTTGAATATGTTTGGGGATCTGTGGGCCTCCTGAATCTGAAGATCTGTGACTTTCCCTATACCTGGGAAGTTTTCTGCTATTATTTCATTGAATATGTTTTCAATGCCATTTCCTTTTTCCTCCCTTTCTGGAATACCCATGATTTGGATATTTGACCGCTTAAGGTTGTCTGTTATCTCTCTTAGTTTTTCTTCAGTTTTTTAAATTCTTTTTTCTTTTTCCTGGTCTCCTTGTGTTAATTCAAACAGCCTGACTTCAAGGTCAGAAATTCTGTCTTCTGCTTGTTCTAGCCTGCTGGTTAGACTCTCTGTTGTGTTTTTTATTTCATTGAATGAATTCTTCAGTTCCACATGCTCTTCTACAGTCTTTTTCAGGGCATTGATTTCTTTCTACATTTCTTCTTTCAGATCTTGTATATATTTTTTTCATTTTATTGTGTTGTCTAACCGGGTTTTCTTGTATCTCATTAACTTTCCTTAGAATTGTTGCTCTAAATTCCTTGTCAAACATTTCAAGGACTTCTTGAACTATAGGATCTAGAACTCGAGAGTTATTATTTTCCTTTGATGGTTACATACTTTCTTGATTTTTCATATTTATGGTATCTTTCCTTTGGTGTTTAGTCATTGTGGCAGAGGGTATCATGGTCCACTTGTTCCACCCTGATGTCTGGCCTGGATCCTGAAGGGACTGCCAATTCTGGACAGTGGGAACTAGCCTGGGCTGGGGGTCCCATAGCACCTGCCTGTTCTGGAGCAGCTGACTCAGGGTGTGTGGACCCAGTGGCTCTCGGACCTCTCTGGGCAGTGGGGACTGGCCTGGACTGGGGTTCCCATGGTGCCTGCCTCTTCTAGTGCAGCTGTCTTGGAGCATGTGGGCCCAGCAGCTCTTGGGCTTCTCTAAGTGGCCAGGACTGACCTGGGCTGGGGGTCCAATGGCATCTGCCTTTTCCAGCACAGCTGGCTCAGGGCATGTGGGCCTGGCAGCTCTCAGGCCTCTCTGGGTGGCGGGCACCGGCCTAGGCTGGGAGTCCTGCGGTGCCTGCCTTTTCCAGTGCAGCTGACTCAGGGCACATGGGTTCTGTGGCTCTCAGGCCTCTCTGGGCATTGGGCACTGGCTTGGGCTGGGGGTCCTGTGGCGCGTGGCTCCTGCCTGTTCCAGCGCAGATATTGGGACTCCTGTTGCTGCTTTCTAATAGTTGCAAATTGGTTGATTTGTGGGAGAGAGCGATGCTGGGGACTGTCTATTCCGCCATCTTGACTGGACTGAATTTTTTATTTCATTTAATTTTAATGAACTTAAATTTTGATTTAGCTTAAGTATGTATGGAGCAACTTAGGTGTGTAAATCTAGTTCTTCAGCCATAAATGTTATAAAATCTAAATACACATCTGGAATTTCCAATGAAAACTTAGTGTCTGAACTGAGATGTGCTAGAAGTGCAAAATACACACCAGAGTTGGAAGACTTAATAGGAAAAAAAGGAAAACATCTCATTAATGTTTTTTCACATGGACAAGTTAAAATAATCATATTTTAGATATAGTGTGTTAAATAAAATATATCACTAAAATTAATTTCACTCGTTTATTTTTTACATTTTTTAATGTGGCTCCCGGGAAATTTCTAATTACATATATTTCTATCAGTTCACTATTCTAGATGTTTAATGTTACTAGCGAGAGTGCTGGAGAGGGAATATCCTGGTCCAGAGGTTCATTTATCACCTGCCCTCTCATAGTGCTAAGAGGTCCCCAGGGTGTCTTCCAGCCCTCTCTCTCCTCGTTACTGGTTTCATATCACTCACCTTGGTGGACACCAGCTTCCACGCCCCTCCCTCACCCACAGCCTTCTTCCCCTCCTCAGGCCTACTCCACTCTTCTCTCCTCCTCCTGGCTTTTGAAAAAACCATATTCTACTACGAATTACCCTCTTCTTCGCTCCCCATGTCTCAGTCTTCTCCTCTGATATCACTGTCTCTGACTTTTTCTAACAACCCCTGTCTCCTGAAACTGCTTCGTTAGAAGTGATGGGCTGGCCCAGTGGTGCACTGCTATAGTGCACCGCTTGGGAAGCGCGGCGGCGCTCCCGCCGAGGGTTCGGATCCCACATACAGACCGGTTCCCGCTCACTGGCTGAGCGAGGCGCAGGGGCAACGCCGAGGGCTGCGATCCCGTTGCCGGTCCCGGTCCGGT